TCACAGGTTTTTCAATACATGTTGTAGATGCTTGACTTTTTAGTAAATCAGCTCCAAAGCCTCAGGAATTTAACCCCTTTGCGTCGGCGCCTGCCAACCCTTTAAGAGTTTCAGAAGCCGAGAGGTGGGGTTTTAGGGTCATGTGACCACCGTGATTCACTGTCACGGCGGTCACATGATCGAAAAAGGTCCCGATCGCAAGGGGAGATCGGGACCTTTCCGTGAGTCACGGACATATGTGCTGGGAGCACGCTCTCAGCTCATATGTACTTTATAATTGCACGCAAATATGCGGCCGCTTGGCTTCAAGGCTGAGACGCCAAGAGGCCGCATATTTGTGTGCATCTAAGGTTTAAGGCCATTTTGACACAATCTGGCATTGCCCTGTCCTATTACCTTTTTGTTATGAAATTTGTTTAAGACCAGGGCTTTTTTCAGCGGGAACATGGGAAACTTCCAGCACCTCCAGCACTAAATGTATGTAATGGCAAGGGGTGCTGGGATGTGCTGGTAAGTTTATTGATTCTGGCTGCTGGGGAGATCTATTGTCACTGGAGTGGATCTATTTTTGCATGATGGTCTATTGTTGCTGGGGAGGTCTATTGTTCCTGGTGGGGGTCTATTGTTGCTGGAAGGAATCTGTTGTTGAGGGAGGGGTCTATTGTTGCTGGCTGCTGGAGAGTCTGTTGATGCTGGCTGCTGCTGGGAGATCTGTTGCTGCTGCTTATGCGTCTATTGTTGCTGGGGTGGTATTTTGTTGTTTGGGGGTCTATTGCTGCTGCCTACAGGGCATCTATTTTACTGTTTTTCTTCTTATAATTAACAAATGTCATATAAATTAGATAGAAATACATACAAAATGATGCTTGGCTGTGTATTCTCTATAAGGAATGGTACTGGGAGGTTGGTAGGGGTGGAACCAAGGGACTGTGCTTGGAGGTGAGTAGGGGGCAGAGACAAGAAGTGATTCAGAAGGGGGGAGTTCCTTCACCTATTCTCTGAGAAAAAAAGCCCTGCTTAAGACCATTGCTATTTTCCACAGCTCAATTTTAAAATATTGAAAACATGCTATTTTCATAACCAACGTTGTCCCTATTCTACTTCAGTTCAATAACCATAGTGTTCCTTAACTATTCATAACTTTCATAAGAAAATGATGGAAAACCTCCAGTCTAGGCTATCTGCGAGGTCTACATTTTTCTTAGTTCTAGCACATTAAGATTTGTAGCAGTCTGTTGTGACTTATTGGGGTTGATTTATTAAAGCCAAATAGACTTAGCATTTTGCAAGTGCAATTGCACTCATTTTCTCCAGAGTTGAGGTGAAGTTCGAATGAGTTCGAATGAATGAGGTGAAGTTCTGCTAATTTTTATTTTCCTTTCATATGCAAGCAGAAATGCTTTTTTTTTTGTATTTTCCTTGCACCTGTGTATTCTTAACAAAGTGAAGCTTCACCACATTCGCTAAGCTCTGGTGAAAATGAGTGATGCACAGTCTATTTGCCTTTAGTAAATCAACCCCACTGCATCTAATACATGTACACAATCCAGATGTATCATGCCAGCTGCATGAATAATATTCACTTATGACTTTACATCCTTTTAGTAAATTATGTGTTTTTGTTGAACATCATATATGTTGATCTGGTATTGTTAGTCTATTAGCTACCGTATTTGTTAAAGCATTCCTCAGTGAATTTTCTACTGCAATCAGGCTAACAGGCATGATCAGTTGTTTTTTCTTTATTTTTTTCTATTCCAAAGAAAAATGCCCTTACCTTGCCCATTGTAGGAAACCTTTTAACTACAATGCACAGTGGTGTAAGTAGACAATTCTAAACCCTTTAAATACATCTTCTAGTGCTGATATCTGCATTTAAGATGGATGATGTCAACTTATTTGTGTTTAGCCATGTGTGCGAAGAGCTGATATGTAGAAAACCAACTAAAACTATTGTTTTCACATGTTGCTGTATGAATATCTACTGCTAACTTTGTAATGTACGCTAAAAGAATAAAGCAGGAAGCAAAGTTTAAAAGGTATGTATTGTTCACGTGTTTTGACTTTATAATGAAAAAAAAATAACATCTATCTATATATTTTTTATTAGTTACAATATTTGGAACCCTTATTCTGTACAAATTTCCCAATTTATGATTGGGCAAAGATCAGTGGAATTACTGTTTTTTTTAAACACTAGGACAGTGCTAGATTTCTGACAAATTTTCCCTTCAATCTAGGGCCCTGTTGGGAGGATTCCTTTTTATCTGGGATGTCTTTAAAATGAATAGAGTGTGCAGTTGTTCAAAGGAAAGAAAGGCATGGAAAGCTTTAAAAAAAAATCCATATTTTACAAAATGAGTGATTTTTAGTTATTATCCCCATTGGAGGGATTTATCACCAGTTTCTGTCCAGACAGAAGTGCATTTATCCAGTAGGGAGACAGCAAAAAAAATAAATAAATACATAAATAATACTGTTATTTTTATTGTTAATATTATTGTTATTATTATTTCTATTATGAATAATAATAATAATAATAAAGATATATGGGGGGATTGGAACTTTTCAATGTCAAACAATAAATAAGAGGAATGAAGCTGGGCTTTAATATGACATTCTGTTTTGTAGAGTAGGAGGATACATATGTGTTTGTAAACATCATTTTGTTGCACGGTCAGAGAAATACTGCAACAAGGTAAACTAAGTGTGCTTTTGTCCTTGTGTTCTCTACTTGAACTGACCAAGCTACTAATAGAATTACTTTAAATCAGTCCTGTACTTAGAGGATAGAATGGTGGTTTCCATTTCTGATCTCTCATTTTAACTGCCTCACTATTATGTTATTCCAATGTCTTCAGTACTTTCTGAGTAACTGACCTAGGACAGGTATGCAGATCAGGAGTTCAGATTCCACTTTGAATTCACTTAGTGCATAATTCTAAGTGAGTAGCTCAAACTTTTGAAGGCAGTCAGACAACCAAGATTAATAGGAGACAGCCCCTGGGCCAACACTAATAAGATATTTTGGGTTGGAGTGGAGACACTTTACCATTCAGACATTAAACAGAGCAAGATCTTCAGTTAGTGACAGATGCTGGCCATTTTATTCCTACTGGCTCCCAATATAGACCTGCAGTCACAGCTTCTGGAAAAACAACTTCCAACACTGTTTCCATTGCAGATCTCTGATGTCATTTGACCAAATTGCAAGAATAGCAAGGGAAGCAGATGCTGAAAGATATGAATAGGTGTGTCGCAAGTAAACATGTTTTTAAAACCATCTACATACCTTTCATAATGGCCACAAGCAGGGACGGACTGACAACTCATGGGGCCCCCGGGCAATAGGGGATCATGGGGCCCCTGTGTCCTTGCCCAAACTCAAAAACGCCTATGAAAAAGGTACCAGGGGCATCTCATGGGGTCCCCCTACTGACCCCGGGCCCTCGGACAGTGCCCGAGTTTCCAAATGGTCAGTCTGCCCCTGGCCACAAGTCACTGGGCATGGTGCACTTTCTCTAGCCCACAGGAATATACTGTATTTTCCTTACTAAAAGGCAAGCTGTTATGGTTGCCTGCCAGGCCAGAAATTCCCCTGCATCTGACATACATTATTCTGAAATACAGTACAGTAGGTTTCAATAAAGCCTCCATTTTGCTTAATATGTTTTTTGATCACAACCAACATGTAGAAAATATATTTTCCCACAGATTATGTTGTTTTCTTAGTAAAGGAATATTATACATTAATTTTGAACTTTGAGCTGCCAGAAATTGTAATTACCATATGTCAATAGAAAACTATGGTGTTCATTTATAATAGTAGGCAGCAACAGATCTAACATGTATACTTCTATATCACAACACTTCAACCTATAATATCCCAGAAAAGTGATCTACCTTCACCCTTGAAGACCAGCTGAACAATATATATGTGACTTTTCTATGAGCAAATACAAAAAAGCTCCCTCTACTGGTCAAAATTAAAAGGCATATCTATAATTTCTAGACTTCTGCCCTATATTGTTATTCATCCCCAATACGCTTATTCTAATACCTAAAAATCAATACTCCATATATCGATATCAATATTTACCCCTAACCTTCTTGGAAGTGGGAACATGCGGTTTATGTTTCCCTGAACCTGTCCATGTGTACACTGCTTGTGAGGAGGAGCTGTTACCACGGAATTTTTATGTGAGTTACCAATAAAGAAGAATACTTTTTATTGTGACTGGTTTTCTGGAGGAAAGTGGAGGAAGTGACCCTAGTCTTTGGAGAAAATCGATGAGAGGAGAGTGTAACCCAGAGTGGTTAATCTGCCCTGCTGTTTCTGCTATAGGGTAATTACCCATCCATATTAGAGTTGGAGAGTGGTGATTTGGGTTTTGGCTATCACCTTTTATATATATAGAGTGTGGTGTTATACACTGGCAGTGTTATCTGTGGAGTGGTTTTCACACATTGCATTGCATATCCTATGTGAATGTGCTTTCACTCATATTGTCATTTCACTTATTTGTATGTGTTTTGACACTTGGTTTGAGTATACACGTTTAGTTAATATTTTGCATGCTGCACAGCGAGTGGCACGTGTGTTTTATATTATTTAAGGTATGACACTATGTCGAGTTTTTTTCTTTTTGAGGTGTACGAACATCAGGATTTGCGGGTATTAAGAAGGTTTTGGTGATGAAAGAAGAAGAAAAAGTTTAAGTTTTTGTGTTACACTTGTGAGGATTATTTTTTGGGATTTTTGATTTTATTTTTGGACACGGTGGGACTTTGGACATAATTTTTATATAATTTTTATAATTTTATATTTTTATATAATTTTTGGTTTTATTTCATTTGATTTGATGTATTTGCTCATAGAAAAGTCACATATATATTGTTCAGATCTAACATGTATATTTGGAAATAAAAACAAAGTGTGTTGATATTTGCAATTGTATTTATTGCTGCTATCACATAGTGACTACTTTAAGGTAGAGACATCAAAAGAAATCCAGAACTCTCCTGAAGGATCCAACTCGAGAATTGCTTGCACCCCAATCAGAACACCTCCTGTACTCTCCAGGCCTCAGATAATATTGGCGTCCTCTGTAGTTGGGCTCTTCATAGAAAATCCATTGTCCTTCAGGAATGCTGCAGGACTGAATTTCATTATAGTGGAATTGCTCATGGACATGTGGACAGTCTTCTGTGAATTCCATCATATGGCCTCCAAAATCTTCCTTCTCGTAAACCCTGATTCTGAATGTACCTCGATGCTGGAAGACAGAAGGATTTTCATGATTTGTTTTTGTATTTATTGTTTGTAAATAGATGCTATTGTGTTTATAGCAATACTAGCAAAGATGTATTGATTTAATCTGCTATAGCAGAAAGGGCTCCTACTTGTGGGGTCAAGCGGCAAGACCTGATAGAGTCATTGAAACCCAACCACTGTTGGTAGTCAGGGTATTCCCCTTTCTTCAGGAAGTATTGGTGTCCCTTATAGTTGGGATGTTCATAGATCATCCAATTTCCATTCTCCACACGGATAGAATTGCATCTGCTGAAGAAGGAGTGCAAATCAGCAGAGTCACAGTTGCACTCATATGAGCGACCCTGGAAGTTTTTATCTTCAAAAAAGATTATCTGTAATTAGAAGATGTGAAATTTGTGGAAAGTTAAACCATTAGGTTAATATAACATTGCATATTTATCATACAGAGAGCAAAACTTGAAGATATCCTGTTACTTTTAGAACAAATGCCAAGGTCTGGGTAAAGCTGTCCTTCTAAAAATGTTATACTCGCCTCTACAGTGCTCTACTTCTGCTCTTTCCTCCATCACATGAATATGCCTTGTGTTGGCTGGTGTTAGATTTCAGGAGAAGTTTCCCTCCTCTCCTTCATAATATGAAAGTGTTTAAGCCTTATATTGTACTGTTCACAGCCATCCTGAGCAGTGTGGTCGAGCTGACAGGGAGGAATATTGTAAACAAAACAATCTTCCTCCCTGTCGGAGATGTTTGGTAATCTCCGGGCGCCGGCGGATAATTACTGGCCGGGACCCGGTGATTGACATCCGTGGCCTCGCATATGGCCCCTACTCGGAAATGCAGAATGACATATATACGTGATTCTGTGCACAGGTGCTGCCTTGTAACAGTATATCTGCTATAGGGCGGTCCTAAAGTGTTTAAAATACTACATATGCACCTAAAGTATTATATCACAGAAAAATGCAAAAGGATAGTAGGCAAAGAGAAATTTACTTTTTTTCTAGCTTCTTTTTAATGTAGATGTCCACCACACATGTACAGCAACCCTGTCTACTCTTAACATAGAACATCTATGCTTTGACCATCTGTGCTAGTTCTTAATAATCCAATAAGAAACGGATGAACCAAAGTTTTGTAGATAAACGTCGACCTCTTGTAGGACCTATACCTGCAGTAATCTGATTACAATCAATGAAGCAGCCTGTCTTGTTCTTAATAATGTCTTACATATCTCTGCTACATTGGCAAACAAAGGAGCCTGTTGTCACACCTTACTGGAAAGCAATTTAACAGGCGAAGACATGTAACTATTAAGAAAGAAGGGAAAATTTGAAGCTTTCACTAAGAATGAGTGGTGCATTACTGCTGAAGCTGCCACCTACTGTATATAAGGTGGGAAGCATTTTAGGCTGAGTTAGTTAAAAAAGATATGAAGTATATAAATAATAGAAAATTTGGTATAGGAAAAAAGGAGAAGAAACAATAGTATATACGGTTTACCCTTTAATGCTTTTATTTTCTGCAGTTTTTCATTAGTTTTGGTACAATTTTAAACTGAACTCAAATAACTTTTTTTCTGAGGCTCCTCTTATATATTATAATGTCCACCTTTGCTTTCTAAAACATGCCATATCCTTAAAGCGGAGTTCATTCAAAAATGGAAGCTCTGCTTATTTGCCCCCCCCCCCCCCCACTGCCATATTTGACACCTTTTGGGGGGAGCGGATACCTGTTTTTTACAGGTACCCACTCCCACTCCAGACTCACTTCACTGCAGCGAAGTGATCTGGATGTTCGGCCCCCTCTGTCCTCCCACAGTCTCCTGGGAACTTTCACAGGTCCCAGAAGACTTGTGGACCAATTAGGAAGTGCAGCGTTTTTCTCACACATGTGCAGTGGTCACCAGGCTGTGAAGCCGCAAGCTGTCACAGCCTGGGGCCCACAGTAGAGATGCTGGCGCCGTGGAGGAGAGAAGGGAAGAAGGGACAGCGCAGGTGAGAAGATCGCTAGGACTCCGGGACAGGTAAGTGTGTGTTTATTAAAAGTCAGCAGCTACTGTAGCTGCTGACTTTTAACCTCTTGGCGCCGGCCGAACACAAATGTGCGGCCTCCCAGCATCTGGGCCTAGACGCCGAGTGGCCGCACATTTTGCGCTCTATTAAAAAAAACATGTTCTGAGAGCGTGCGCCCTGCACGCTCCCAGCACACATGTCCGGTACTCACGGAAAAGTCCCGATCTCCTCTTTCAATCGAGACCTTTCCCGATCATGTGACCACCGTGATGGCGTGTCACGGCGGTCACATGACCCCAAACCCAACCCCTCCTCCCGGCCCTTAAAGGGCTGGGAGACTCTGGCACCAAGGAGTTAATAACCACAAAAATGGCTGGAACTCCACTTTCAGATAGCCTACGCATCCCCTATCCATGCCCTACCCACTCCATAGGGATGATTACTAAAGAATTAGAGACAGTTTACTTAGAGAAGTGAATGTTCACTCAGCTTGGTAAATAATGATAAATTGTTTTTTGTTTCAATTTTGCTTGCACATGATTGGGTATTCAAAGTAAACACAACTTCCATATATTACTAAGCTTAGTCAGCATTCACTTTACAAATTAGAAACCCACCTTTGATAAAATGACCTTCATACTGTATGTATGAAAAATGAAAATGCTTCAGCTGCTAATAGAAGAGACTGTGCAGATTTGTTTTTGTTGCAGTTCATTTCTGCATCTGCTATTTCAGAATCAAGCATTAGTAATTATTTAGACTTCCTTGCTTGAGGTGATTGTAGTCATATTAGTGCACTTGCGACATAAACAATTGAGGAATGACCATGATACTTTTTTTTACTGGCACTAACATACAATTTTTCAGGACAAGCTTTTGGGGTATGTCCCCTTTCTTCAAGGTCTTAGTATTAGTACTGCTTGGACCTTGAAAAAGGGGACATACGCTGAAAGCTTGTCCTGAAAAATTGTATGTTAGTGCAAATAAAAAAAGTATCACGGACAGTACTCAATTGTTTTAGACTGCCTTGAAATTTTAGCTGGTGTCCTTACAATAATGTAAATGTGAACATATAGATACATTAGATATACCTCAATTTAGGAAAAAATTCTCTTTTTTATTGAAAAGATTTGTTAATGAAATTAATGCTTTTATATTTGCCTACACCAATAAATATTTATGACACCGGGGCTCATATTTTAACTGATAATGTTATCTGTAGAAACCAATCGTATCATACATTTTTTATAGAAAAAAAAATTTAAAATTGATTGGAATGCAATGCAGACGTCCCTTTTGAAAATGTTCATAAATACCAGATTAGTTGTAGATACAATATGATAAAATGTCTGATCTAAAGTTTTGCTTGATTAAAACAACAATATTTTAACCATAGATTTCTTTCCTGGTACATTACTTTTTCATTTAACAAAAGTATAGTCATAAAAATTACTAAAGTTATTTTTTCACAGATCACTTTTTTATATAACTAACTACAACATAATGACATTTAAAGATTACCTCTGGTGAAACCTACAAATTACCAATTTCAATATATACTGTTGTAACATAATTAGTTAGAAAGGGGATTTATATTGGAATATTATTTAATATTCACATTTTCAGTGCTGCATGTTGTTAAGAAAAAATATTGATTCCCTGTGTTAAATGGTAAAAAAAAAATAATAATCTGGGAATTAATTTACTGAAAACAATGAAAATTTTGCTGAGTTGTAAGTGCATATTTTGTTGTGTGATATGTGGTTATTATAATTAATATTTTTTGCTTACCTTCCCCATTTTAGATGGACTTCACAGACTAACCATCTCATGAATTTTTTCTGCTTCTATTTAAATATATCACCACAATGCTAACATTTGCATGTATGAATAGATTACAGTGTGGATTAACATACACAGTATCTACATCACATCAGATTGTTGTGTTGCTCTCTAGGCATCTATTGTCGATTCTGCTTATGACAGCTTATTTGGTTTGCAATTGTTTGATTGGTCACCAAAATCCTCTTTTGAACCTTTGTATTGAAAATCTCTAAAATACATGCACGCACATTCACTTTAAACTAGATTGTAGTCTTTTATCCCACTACAAAGAAAAGCCTTAATTCCAATGCTTCTCTTGAGCTTTTTCTGTTGCTCTAAGCAGAAAATGCATGCACAGAAAACACAAGAGCCTGTAGGTCATATCAGGACAGACTCTATTATACTGGCAGCATTTTTAAACTCAAGCATGTGCAAAATGTTGCAGTGTATTTTGCCATATTTGTCATAATTGTTTTTGTGAATTCCAAAGTGACATTCTAACACATAATTCTATAACTCTAATGAAATGGAACAATTGTCCACGTACAACTTTAATTTTTATATATATATCTATATATATTTATATAAATAATAATAATTAGTGGTATATATACTTTTCATTTGTATGGCTCACATACACCTAAGCTCAGGTGACACGTTCAGGCACAATCATGGACATGTACGTGATTGTTCCTGATCCAGTTTAGGACGCACCGGACAAAATGGATTCATAACAGCTGAGATTCCTATAGCAGTGATCTGTGATTGGCTCACAGCTATCACATGAAACCTGGGCCAATCACAGCATCCTGTACCATGTGATTAGCTATCACTAGTAATCACAGCTGTTAATAATGAAACTTATTCATGACAGTTCAAAGCATTGTTGTTACAATTATCTACTATGGTGATTATGGTTCCACTAAACAACTCTCATGAAAGTATGTAAAAAAATTGTTAAAAAAAATAAAAAATGTAAAAAAAAAAATAAAAAATATTTAAACATTTGAATAAAAATTATTACTTTTTTTTAAAATTTTTTTTTGTAATGTACTGTCACCAGTCAGTGTCCCTGTACACCGCCACACAGTAGTCCTGGTGACAATATGTAAAAACAAAAATTGTGAAAAAAATTACTTAATTTCTTAATTTTCCAAAAATGGTG